AAAAAAAAAACAATAACTTTACTTATAACATAGCCAGTAAAATTCCATTCATTACGTAATACATCATTTAATAAATATTTATTAACTGCTGATGGTATTCCATTTACGGCACTTATTGCACTCATTATACCAACAATTGCTTTTTCATCAATAAGTTTTTTCCATACAGGTAAATATGTTATTCTAAAAAAAAGTAATAACAAATAAATTATATATTAGATAATTAATTATACATGTTTTATTACCTTAAATCAGCATCAGAAATAATTGCATTAAAACTAAATCTACCATTATCAGGACCATCATAATCAATAAAATGTCTCAAAAATATATAAAATAATTGAGAAAAATATTCTATTTTATTATTATTGATTTAGAAAATCCATGCTATGTATGAGGTTTTTTTTTCTCAATAGTGGAATATACGTATCTATTCTTACTATGAGAATGCTAGTAAGAGTGAAACTTTTACTAAACGTAATATTTAAAATAGTAAATTCAAAAAAAGAACATAATTTTTTAATAATATATTTACAAAATATTACCTCATAACAGGTATAACTTTATAAATTCCATATTCTAATTGTGTATCTTCTAATTTTGCATAACCCATAATACCTTTATTGAAAGCTACTGCTATTTCACCAGTTAATATTGGACATTCACCTTATAATAGAAAAAAAAAAAGAAATATGAAATTTCAATAATAAATATATTGAATTTGATTATATACCATATGTTTCTGGTACTCTTCCCCATCTTGGATCTCGGGCAATATTAATAACACTTGATGCACCAGTTTTATAATCAACACTTTTATTTTTATAATTATAATGTATTGCCATACTTTCATCACTAATCATAATACCAGATTGAAAAATTAAATTTTTATTCCATGTTGAAGCAATTCCTGTACCTTGTGGTAATACAGAAACATTACCATCAATTACAGGACTATAACAATTAATATTACAACCATTTGATGCTGATCGATAAACATATCCTTGTCCCATCCAAGAATATCCACGAATATTTAAACGTGGAACAGCTAAATTAGGCAATTCACCATCTACAAAAACCAAATCCGAAATAATTGATAATTTTTAAATTTAATATTAAGTTCTATAAAATAATACCTGATGTTGCTCCATCCATCCATAACATATTAATCTTAAACAAAAAAAAAATGATATGATAATAGTCAATAAGATGATTATAAAAATAAATTTTAATAATACCTTTTCTTCCGGAGTTAGTAATGACATAAGATTATCTAATCTTATATCAATTGGTAATGTTGGATCTTGAAATGGATAATCATAATTTAATTTACATAAATTTTTATGATATTCATAGATACGAAATGTTATGTATATAAATACAAAAATAAAAAGTAATATTGAAATAATTAATTTCATTTGCTTGAATTTTTATCTAAAAACTTTACAAAAAAAATAAATAAATTTGATTTTAAAAGATTTTGTACACGTTCTCTATTCGAAAAAAATTCACAGCATCTAACTATTGATAAGGGACAAAGTTGAGAAACATTTACGATGATTTATTTTCATCAATAGTAGTTTTTACAAGAATGAATAACTGGTGATGTTGCAAGTCTAGTTAATGGTCAATTTTATGGAGGACAAGATAATTTTGAAAGAGTTTCTATTGATTTTCTAACATTTAATAAATTATAAACAACATTTCAAATTTAACGAACTCAACTTTATGCATATTTTTATTTTCTTTTTTTCTTGGATTGAATTCTATGCAATGTAAAAAGAGTGTTTCAATTTGATGATTATTTTTATGTAGTTCGTTGAACATTTTATTTTATAAATATTAGATTGAAACAATATAAAAATTAAAAATTATTAAAATATACAAGATTCGAATAGTTGTTTTCTATGGCACATAGTATTATTAGTTGAAAAGAAAAAAAATATATCAATAGCTCTAATCTTCTGAAATTTCCTCAAAATTAATAATATGTACGTTTATTTTGTATTATAATCCAAATTTTTATACGTTCATATGACAACAAAAAAAAAAGTATACTAAAAATGTCATAAATTATATTTTACCTTGTATGTTTTTGCAACATAAAGATGCCGTTGATAGAAGAAGAAAAAAACCGTGCAGAGAAAAAAAAAAGAGAAGAAAGAAAAAAAAAAACGTGCTTGTGTAATCCATAAATATGACTATACTAAAGGTAACGACGGTATGTTTGTAGCATTCTCCGGTTCTTTTTTTTAAACTCAAATTTTTCTTTTCGTATGTCATGTTGTTCTCCATTTAACATTTCTTATGTTGATATTCTATTATTAGTTTTACTTTTTTTTCGAGTATATATATAACATATGAATTGGAAATTATTTCATTTCATAGATTAAAAATATATTGCAACCTATTATGTTATACGATGTTTTCATAGACTATTGTACTGACAATATTCAGTTTTAGAAATGATATTGTATTTTTTATTGATTTATTCCAGTTTAGACACATTGTGTACATCTATTTTTTATATGACTTTTGAACTCTTACGAAAATAGTATTGACCTCTAATTTTATATTTTTTGTGATAGAATATCTATAGATTGAAATTCATATGACTTTTCTTTTTTTTTTTGTTTTCAAAACTTAGAGATCGAATACATAGAATTCAATTGAACAAGAACAATGATATGTTGAATGTATTAAGAATGAGTGATAATACTTCAAAAAAAAAATATATACTAGAACTAGTCTTTGAATATTTAGCTAGAATCAAATTGAGTTTTTATGTGATTCAAAGAAAAGAATAGAAAAAGTTCTCTTCTTGAAAGATAGAAAATATTAACTTCATATAGAATTTTGATAATTTAAAACACATTATAAATGTTGATTAGTCGAGAGAAAATGTTATCATGTTCGCCAGATCGAATAATGCACTTGTCAATTTGACCAAAATAAATTCTCATTTAGAATAATTTTAAATGATAAAAAAGAATCTGATGTGAGAGAACAAAATAAGAACATGTTTTCGATAATTTTTACATCAAAAAGGACAATAAGCGAAAGTCTAATCGTATATTTATAGAGAACGATTACTCAATAATTTTTTGAACTATTCAAATTTTATCAGAAAAAGATTTTGAATAATTTTCCTTGTTCGATGCTTCTATTGTTAATTTTAACAAAAATCAATGAAATTTATTCAATGATCACCGAAACCAAGTTTTCGTTTCCTATGTGAGCAAGTTAAAAAGTCAAACAAAATGATTGAATTTTTTCCGATAGTTTTTTCAACAAAGAAATCATTTGATTTATGATAAACTTCTTGTTGAGAAAGATCTGCGTAGTTTTCAAATTATAAACACTACTCGTCTCCATAGAAAATTTGGACGAGCAATCTTAGTACTTCTCTTCCATCTGTTTCTTGTAGCTCGTAAAATTCTGTATCGATTGGTATATAATAAATGAGGCTTGGGTGATTATAAGAGAAAATATATAATCGAATGTCGAGTGGTATAAATGACGTTTTATTTGCCGGTTTGTTAAGATCACGTTATATAACGTATTTTCAATGTTACAATATTCAGTTATATTCTTTTCTCAATGTTTTGTATACTATTTTGTAACTCGGAAAATTTTCTGACGACTGATGTACAATAAAATCTATGTTCTTTTTTTAAATATAAGAGAAAATAAATATTTTTCATATGAAAATCAAGATAGCTCAACGTTTTCGAGAACGTCTCAACTCGTCACGTGACGAGTTGAACAAACAGCAAAAATCAGACCTTTCGTAACACCAAAAATAGGGATATCCAAAAATACAGGGATGTCGTAATGAAATTTACAGGACGATCGTAACGATTAATACAGGGAGTTCGTAACAGTTGCAGAGCTTTCGAAACGAAGCAACAGGGATTTCGTAATGAGGATGAGGGTGATAGCTGAACTGAGTTTGCAGAAATTACATGCTTTTCGTTACAAAAGCTCTGTAATGGTACATATTAAAACACCAATTACGATCACCCTGTAAACTTTGTTACGAAACCCCTGATTTTTTGTTACGAAAGCCCTGATTTTGTCGTTACGAAAGCTCTGTCACGGGCTTTCGTACTGTCAATTCGTTACGAAAACCAGACAAGAAAAAACGTGACGAGTTGACACATTCCCACGTTTTCATACAAAAACACTGGGAATAATCACATTTTCTGCTATAATTCACGAATCGATTCATATTCTGAAGAATTATCATGTGGATGACCAGCCAAATGTACTGACCAATTTTTTAGGCTTTTTAATGAGCTGTCAAAATTAATGTAAAACGTTAATTTTCTTCGTTAAACTGTGTTTACTTCTTTTTCTGTTTCAGGAACAAAAAACGCAAATGAGTTTGCATTTTTACGAAACAACCAACACACAGTTGCATGCTGTGTTTCTATATTTTAAAGTAAAATTACTTGTTCCAACACACGTGTATTCAAGGGTGGCAAGGAACACAAGTCGATTGCTTGCACTGCTACTCTTCTCCTTTCACTTTTTTCTCTCACGATTCAAGAAACGAAAATTCAACAACTATCATTCCACAACATAAAACATCTTGCACAACGAGAAGCTAATAAATCTTCTAGTTTACTATATTTTATTCGGTACGACATAGTTAAACTGATTTTTGAATCCATTCTACTCACTATGGGAATAAACATGTAAGATTTAGGTATGTTTACAGTTTCAATAATCTTAGGACTGATGGTTTTGATAAGTATATGTATAGTTTATTGTTGTTACGGGCTCCTGATTAACACAGCAAAATAGATCCGAAATATGAAACAAATTTTCAATCATGAAGTAGTGTCAAGCTCGTAAAATAATTTATAATGTCTAAAAAGAAACAGAAATTTACACGTTATCCTGCATAGTTTTTCTTTTCTATTTTTTCTTCTTGTTTTTTTTTCATTCGATATTTTTTCTTCGTATACATTTCCCCTTTTTTTTGTTAATCTCTCCTGTACACTGTTCTCTAACCCGTAGTTGAAAGGAAAAAGTCTATTCAGGAGCATTTCCAGTAACAAACACATTGTAGTCCCTTTTTATTTTATGTGCTTTCACTTTTCTTTTCGCATCATCGCAAGTGCTTCCTAGCGGTAAACGTAAATCACGCTGTATAATACGAAAACAAAAACAAAAAAACATACGTGTATGTAATAATACTATATTTAATGTTGTTGGTGAACCCAATACGGTTCTGTCCAATGTACGATTAGTTATTGAAACAGCGAAATCTGCGAAAAATATTTGGGACTTTGTGAAAGATTTTCCACCTACTTTTGCTGATTATCTGGTATCAATAGTTTCAAAATCACATGATGATCAAGATGAAGAAAAACATACAATATCAAATATTCATAGTTCATATGATTTTGTTGTTGATCTTACTCGACCTACAGATATTTTTCGAAGTCTTCACGCATATCCTGTTACATTTCCACAAGGAAAAGATTTTTACGATAATAAAATTAAAGAAGATGGCAACCAAATATCTCGTTTTGTAGTTAATGTTGTAGGTCGTTACAATGTTGGAAAGACATATATTTTACGGATGTTGGCTAATATTAATCTGGGTCATTCGTTCATTGAACGTACGAATGGATTGAGTGTATCGTTACCATTTGTATCTCAGACACAAGATACGCCCCTAGCACTTATTGATACAGCTGGAACACGAACACCGGTCGAATATCATGATAAAACATTTTTAGAAAAATCATACGAACGTCAAGTTAGTGATTCTTTTATTCAAGAGATTGCTCTTAATTCGGCTGAAATTTTCGTGCTCGTAGTCAATCAACTTACATTAGATGATCAACTCTATCTAAAAACACTTTATAAAAGATTAAAGGTAAACAGTTTTGAAAATGTATTATTTTCATTTTTATGGATAAGATAATTCATTCAATTGCAATGAATCAGTAATATTTTACATGTAGATTAAATCGAATTTAATGTTCTCAATCTCTGTTCAATAATCATCTTGATCAGATAGGTTGCTACTTTCAGATAAAATTAACATTATATTGACTTTTTTGGCTCGGTTCGATCGAGTTCATTGAGTTATCATCATGAATATCATTTCAAAATCTTTTTTAGAATAGTTTTAGTATTAAGAAGAATTTAAAAACTTTATGCTAAAAAACATGTCTGAAATGTGTATATTTATTTAGCAGATAAACTATGTATTGATATATTCTTATATTTATCGTTTATTTTTTGTTTCTGAAATAATTCTATATTTTTCCTTTCGATCAAACCAGCTCCGTAAAATATACTTTGATCGCAAATGAGATCTACTGTAGATTTTAAAAAAAATTGTTGTAGAATGTTTCTCAATGTCTTCTGCTGCAAACGATAACTATTAAAAATTGTGTTATAGTTTGATGACACATATACTACAGTCTACTACTGCTACATTAAATGGACACACTTTCTTTTTCAATCAATGTAAAATAAAAACATTCATGCCTTTTTGTTTTTTCGAGATATGGGTCATCCAATAAATAGATATAGACATTTTTGGCATTTTCTTCTAAGCTCAAATTTCTCATATTTGCTTGTTAATAGTAAAACTTTGTCAAATGGCTAATATAATCGATATTATTAGTGATCCATTGACGGTTTCATTTTCATTAAGCCTAAAAAATCATCAAAAAAAATGTGTTATTCAAAGTTCGAATTTCTGGAAACTCATATCGAATTAATTCCATATTTAAGCTAAATAATAGAAGCACTATATAAATGTGATGATTCATTCAAAGATATAAACTAAAAACTGTTATTTTACCAGTAATGCGACATATTCAATGCTCTTGTTTTTTTCAATGAATTTTTTTTTTTAGGATAAAGGTTTGAGTGAAATCGACATCAAACAGAAGCTTTTAATTGTACATAATTATTTCAATTTACATACAATTGTCGAAGTTGAAGAGACTGAAAAATCTGAACTTATCAGATTATTTGGTGCACGAAAACAACCTCAAGGTTATTGGCTTAGTGAAAATTTCAAACATTTTGTTATTGCAAGTAGTGATAGTGAAGCTGGTCAGATATATAACGATAGAGCCATTGAACAAATTAGAACTATGATTAAGGGATCAAATGCTGCTAAAAATAATGATGTATTAGATACAATTATAAAACAAATTGAATTGTTATTAGGTAAAGTTTTAGTTGAAGAATTACCTGTAATAAGTAAAGATAATGATGAAATATTCAATCACTCAAATATATTTGCTAAAGCCTATGAATTTGCAACTTCTTTATTTGCATCAAGTCATGAAAATCGATTAAATGTATCGAATAAACATAATATTACAGTTCAACTTCAACTTAAAGATTTTCAAATAAATTCTTTCGAAACTTTATGGTTTATTTGTCCAAAACAAACACTTGCAAATAATATAAAATTTACCAAACATTTAAAATTTGCTGATGATGGTTCGATTCATATTGATTATTCATCTCAATTTGTTCCTGATGTACATATTTTTCGACTTAAAGATAATGGAAATATTCAAATACGTATTGAATGTCCATCATGTGCAAATTCATATAATGTTAGTGCTCGTGGCACATCAATATTAATTCAAGGTGAAAAAATGTTTGAAAATATTACTATTGATAAAGACTATTTAAATACAAATCGTATAGGAAAATTTGAAATCGAAGTACCCATAGGAAAATGGGAACCTAATTCAGCTTATGATTTTCGAAAAAATGCTATTCAACATATTTATGAAAATGGAGTGATTATTATTACAGTACCAAATATTTCTAATGAACTTTAATTTTAATTTTTCTTTTATCAAGAACGTTTTTTTTTTTTTCTTATTTAAGTTATTATTTATTTTGATGTTCAGCGTTCATTCGAAAGAAATAAAAAAAAAATACGTAATTGAAGATATTCTTTACTCAGAGAGCGTTTTTTTTAAATACAAATCAATAGATATGATTGGTTTTGTCCTAGAAGGTATTTTTAAAAGTTTTTCTAATTATGGACATATCCCTTCCACTTTGATCCGAGATGATTTGTATGCGATGTCTCTTACATTGAAAATTTCTGCTCTGTATGAGGCTTTTTACCTTTGTTATTATGATGAAACTTTTGGATTTCGTATAAGCGATTGAATTTTATTCTTGATTCGAGAGTATTCGTCATTCTATTCAATCCAAGTCAGCTTCTTCTTACACATAATTACTGCTGTTCTACGGCTTTATAAGCATATTATGTAATTATTATTTCATCAGAACGAATTTTAATTTAGTAGTCGAATTTATTATCAAAGGCAGTGCATTGTCACCATATAAAAATCAACAATAATATGCAAAAAGACATTAACATTCTAAATTATGATGAGAAAAACACTAGGAGAAGAAAGCAAATTTCGTTATCCCGAATGTTATTTTAAAAATAATGATATTCAAACAATACAACATATAGAATCTTATGGAATATTAATTAATGTTCACGCTATCAATAATAAAGATTTTAATCAACAAATTGTTAAATCATAGTACGAAACAGATCGAATTAAAGAATAAGATTTCGAACAAGTATCTTAAGGTGAAAGTGACCTTTTTACAATGATTGAAGATTTGCAAAGGAAAAATAAAAAGTAATTAATGCAATAAAATAAATATTATATTTTTAGGACTTTTTGATTCAATAATTGAAAATGTAAATAAAACAATTAAACAAGTTGTCCTTCTTGCTATTCATCACGTGATACACATATGATGTTTGTGAAGATAAATCGAATGAAGTTGAATCTGGTACAAGAATTGCACCTGAAGATATTCGATATCGTCTAATTGTGAAAAATTCAAATTAATTTAAATTGAGATATATTACTTTCTGAAATATGATCATTTACAACAGTTGAAAGAATTCCTACAATATTAAAACCTCAATTAACAACTATTATTGTGCCATATAGTAGTGGATATAGTCAGAAAGGAAATAGTGATTTGTACTTTTTTCTGATTTAAAAACAAAACTAAATAAAAATATATTTGATATATAGTAGCAAGTTTATTGTTCATATATTACGTAATGAAGAAAAATACACTAATTTATAGATTCATGAATAAATTTCAACAAAAAGAAATCATCAGACAGGAGTTCACGTTAAACTTTAAGAGTCAAATGCCGCTTTCAAGGGACATTATGATAATTGATGTAAAACATATCGACTTTCTTAGATAATCGCTACAACAATCCTTTCGATTATTATTTCGATCGTGTAAATAAACAAATGTGAATTATCAATAAAATACAATAGATTTATCTTTTGTATTTCTGTTAACAGAATCGATTACATTTGCATGGATATAATTATTAGTAAAAATAAATGAATCCGATAAAATTTTCCTCATTCTCATAGACATATAAGGGCCTGAAGTGATGAGCGATCTATTAAAAAACTGGCGTCACTTTTGAAATTCTAAGTAAAGAGAAACGCTCACTTCGGTTAGTTAATATATTTTCTATCAAAGTCTTATTTCAAATATATTGAAAAGTTTTTTCATCTTTGTTTTTCGCAATCTAATACTTATTTCCAAATCATTTATAAAATAATAATATATTCTAAATGACTTTAGTTTTAATGAGATAGTAGATATATCCAGTAGTCTCGCTTATTCTTATTGAAATATTTGAAATGTCCATTTGATTAATCAAGTGATATTTCAAGTTCTTCTGCAAGTCGTTCAATATTTGATTCCATCTTCGTTAGATTATCATGCAAAGAAGGCAAGCATATTCTGTAGATAACTAATGCTTGTTGATAGTAATCAAGTGCCAATGTAGGTATATGAAGATTTTCGTAAATCTCACCTATGGTTGATAAACTATTGCCAATGTCTTCATGATATGGTGGTAAAATTTTAAGACGCATTAAGAAACAATTCTGTTCATAGAGAAGAGAGAGTTCATAATGTTCTCTACTTCTGTGTACTATTGACAACCACATAAATACGTTAATGATAGACAGATCTTTTGATGGTACATTAGCTTCTTCAATTAACAACCATCGTTCCAAATATTCAATAGTCAGATCGTACTGCAACATCTGATATAAGTTGGCTACGATCCAAGATAGACATGTACCAATTTCATTATAATCATTTGGGTAATATTCTTCTAATATGATTAATGCTTGTTGACAATAATCGAGAGATTCATCATATTTTGCTTGTTGAAATAGAAGAACACCAATTTTCTTAAGAGTAATAGCAATTTGAAGTTGATCAATAGATGAATTACTTTTATGAATTGTCAATTCTTGTTGTTGAAAATTGACAGCTTCATCATACTTTCCATGTTCTTTTAAAATTTCAATTATGTTGTTTAGACAAGGAACAATATTCAAATAATTGGATGAATCTTGCTTGTAAAATGTTAGTATTCGATTGCAAAAATCAAGAGCTTCATCATCCTTTCTTTGTACATATAGGATACGAACTATATTGGTTAAAGTGTGTACGATGTCAGTATAATTCAATGGAGACAATTTCTCTTGAATAACTAATGAACGTTGATAGAACTCAATAGCTTCATCATATTTTTCTTGGTTATATAGAACATTAGCAATGGAGTACAGGCTATTTGCAATGTCGACATGAGGAGATTTATGATGTTTTTCTTGAATAGCTAAAGCTTTCTGATGAACTTGAAAAGCTTCATCGTAATTCTTCTGTATACATAGAATGCTACCAATAAACTTGAGAGTATGAGAAATTTCGATGTGACCATCAGGATAGAAATTTTCTTGCATTAAAAGTGCACGCCGATAATAGTCAATGGCTGTATCATACTTTCTTTCATTGTATGAAACATGACCGATATGATTGATGGTATTAGCTATGATCATTTTGTCTGATGAACAATATTTTTCTTGTATTTCGAGTGCTCGCTGATGATATTCACGAGCTTCATCATACTTTTCTTGCTTGGATAATGTACTGCCAATGTTGTTCATAGAAAAAGAAATAGAACTATGATCAAATGGACTGTGTTTTTTGATAGTATCGAGTGCTTGTTGATGAAAATCAATAGCCTCATTATATTTCTCTTGCTCACATAGTAGACTACCAATGTTGCCGAGACTCAAAGCCATTGATGAATTACCAGAAGGATAATAGTTTTTTTGCATATCTAACGCTCGTTGATAATAGTGTAGAGCTTCGTCATATTTCAATTGACAAGCGTATATATTACCGATGCAATTGAGAGTGTAGGAGATTTTTGAATAATTATATGGATAATATTTCTCTTGCATCTCTAATGCTTGTTGGTGAAAACTAAGTCCTTCATCGTATTTTCCATGTTCTTTTTGTAAAAAGCCAATGTTGTTTAGGATACAAATAATGTCATCATGACCACAGAAACAATATTTTTGCAAAGTTTTGAACGTTTGCTGATAAAATTCTAGAGATTGATCGTACTTTCCCTGACCATAATAAACATGCCCAAATCCACATAGACTCTCAGCTATATCGACATGACCAGATGGATAATATATTTGTAATATTGCATATGCTCGTTCATATATCTTCAGAGCTTCATCATATTTGCCTTCGAGGACGAGAATGTAACCAATATCATGAAGGCACCAAGCGATGTATACATGACCATCTGGATAATATCTTGTATAGATTGACATAGCTCGTTGACAGAAATCAAGAGCTTTATCCAAAATCCTTTGAAGTGTTAATGCCTGACCAATACAAAGAAGACTAAGAGCGATATCAATATGTTGAAATTGATAATGTTCTTCGAATATTGCCAATGCTTGTTGATGAAACATAAGCGCCTCGTCATATTTTTCTTGTCGATACAAGATCCTACCAAAGCTACGGAGACAACTAGCCATGAGGATACGACCACTTGGATTAATGTTATCGACTTGCAACCAGACAACGTCATGTATGTTTTGACACATTTCACTAACGAGTTCCGTGTTTATTGCCGCATACGTCGATGGGTACTGGCACGAAGTTCTTCGGAACTTTGGAATCAAAAACTGTCGAGAGCGCAGTTTAAGAAATTCGTCAGAATCCAGTGAAATGGCTGGGAATGATGCAAGATCACGACTCAGTTCACTATTAAGTTCATAACCAAGTGAAGAAGATCTATTGACTGCTTCAGAAAAATCATTTTCTTGACATAGCTTCAATGCTCGTTCATAATAATTCTGAGCTTCTTTGAACTGTCCTTCGAGATAGAGAATCTCACCTATATTAAACAATATATAAGCTAAATCCTTAATTTGTGTTGTTTTCACATTCATAATCTGATCATAATATTGTCGTGCTTTACTCCATTCTCCTTTCCATTGAAGTACTTCACCAAGACTACATTCAATCATTGGAATATCTTCATTATCGATATGGGAGTTGTTTAATAAAATTTCAAAAAAATGTTGAGATTGATTCCATAGACTCATATCACACATCAACCGTCCAAAGAGAATATTGATGCTGAGATCTTTTATACGGCAACGAGAGTCTTCGATGTATTTTTCTTTGATTATTTGACCTTCATTAGATGCATTCATTTGAATCAAACAAATTCCTTGTTCTATTTTCACACACTCCAATCGAAAAGTGACATTTGAATTGAAGAGAATTTCTTGTTGTTCTTCATAGGAATTAGTGACAATGACAATATCATTCAAATGTTCGAGATCGCATTGAATTTCTATGAGAACAGAAATGAGATCAGATTGTTTCGAATGCTTCAGCGCTTTGTTCAATGCACTTGAACGATGAGTACTTGCTATAAAAAGACCATTCATTGAAACTAATGTGCCTTGATTCTTTTTGAATTTTTCGAGTTGATCTCGTTTCAATTTCATTCCTCGATAGACGCTTAGTATTTCTCTGCTAGATCGGACTATTTTGTGATGTTCTCGAACGATACATTCTATCAAATCTTTTATAAAATATCGAAACGTGTAAAGTTGATTAAAGTCTTTGATTCTTAACGCTTTATTGATAATTTTGTAAAGGAATGATTTTTTCAAATACCATCGAAGAGCTTCTTCTGATCGATATTCACTTTCGAATTCATCGATTTTTTCTAATTTTTTAATGTTATCTCGATAATAGGACCTGCATTCATCGATCATTTCTTGTTTAGTTTCCTCACTGTATGGTAATTGATAAAGAATATCGTGACAAAGTTGAAACCAAAGAAGATCATCAGTGCGTTTTGATAGATCTTTTGTCATGTGATCATCTTGATCAAAGAAGCTAAATATTTGTAAGCGTTCATCGACAAGATCGATTTGTTCTTGAATAGAAAAACACAATAATTCGAGATCATTATGGATACCAATCAGTTTTGAATGTTCAAAAATCAAATGTTCATGACTGAGTTTTTCCCAGTTGAAGATAAAAATACAGTCAATTTGAGATAGGTTTTTTATATCAGGTAATACTTCCATTACATCATAAATCGAAGAAATAAAGATGATTTTTTCATTATGAATCGATTGAACGAATGCAATGCAAGGTGCAAGTTGATTGTGAAATACAACATAATTATTAATTTGACGTAGTTGTTTCTCTAATTCTTCAGCATGATTATTAGATTCAATCTTTGAATCGTACCAAATCAGAATGACGTCTTCTTTGTTATGAATTCTGTTCATCATTGAAGAAGAATTTTCCAGAATACTAGAACGCATTTCGATGAATAAGAAAAACACTTCAGGTGTACTTATAATCTTAAAATGAGACAAGTAGAAAGAATGATGTTGTTTTTATATATTGTTCATTGATTGGCTGCGTGATTCAAATATCGCTGAAAGGAAGTGACTATTTTTTTTTCAACGTGTAATTTATTTTTTACATATAAAAAGAAAATATGTTTTCTCTCATTACCTTGATAGATTACATAAAAAGACACTAGTCACGCTTTTGATTCTGTTTTGTTCGTGTATAATATTAATTTCGTCTCCTACTCTTATTTATTTTTCACCTTTATGTGCATGATGTTTTATTCCAAGCACGTGGCGATAGATTTTTCTGATCAAAAAATTTTCTACGTAAAGTTTTTCAAAAAGAAAAGGGACTTTCTTATTCAGTTTAATCAAAATATTTTCCATTGTAATTTCTGATAACTAAATAATTCACAGAATGTGAAAAAAAAATGTTATTTTGAGTATCATTTCTGCAATGTTTCTACGTAACTGATAAATGTGTCAAAAACACATAGATTTATTTGTTGTTGATTCTGAAAATTTCCATGCAACCTTTTAAAATACTTGCATACCACTAGCTATGATTATCGTGCATTATTATCGAACTAACTTATGTGAACAATCTTACAAGTGCGTCATTGATAATTTTATCAGATATTGATCTTGAATATCTTGATTTATAAAAAAAATGTACTCGAAAAATCAATCCATCAGCGCTTTGAGTCATACTATATATATATCAATGTTTATACCAGATATTGGAAACTCTCGAAATAATTCATAAGAGTACTTACTATCATCGAATTGTTCATTATTCATCAATTTGATCATCATGTTGTTCATGCGACGCTGAAAAAATGTACTAAATCCTTTTTGAATTCCGTCATGGAGACTTCTAGTTGTGAAGATATACATTAATCTTTGATCCTTTGAACATCTACAAACACACTGATATTTGTATATTTGTTAACTATCGTGACATTTTTGGTATTTCAAACTTCTCGATGTCAGATACTGCTAAAACTATTTGAAATTCATGTGTAGAAAAAAGTATGATGATGTAAATTTTATCAAAAATGTTGAGATTGATCTGTTAACTAAATTTAATAAATTCTCGACTTCTCTAAATTGCTTGAATAAGATTGAATTCTTCAGAGTTTCATGATTTCAGCATTCATGCAGTCCCGACACGTCTTACATGTGACTATTTGGCGTAGATTTGGCTCAAGAGAAGCGCGGCACCCACATTTACATTTCAGATTCACACCATTAGCTAGAAGAATCTGATTACAACGCTAGAATCTGTCTCTTGTATTTTCTTGCGTCCGGTTCTACACAATCACACAACGATGTGGTAGCACTGAAGCTATTCTTTGCGTTTCGATTAAATTCAACTTGAAATGAAGAAATACGCGATCTCGCCTTGCTTAATTTAAGAGAGAGCCCACGAATTCACCATCGTGAAAATGGACATGACTGATCGAGAAACTTATGAAGTTAGATTTTCTATTGCCATCGAATAAATCTTAGTCTTAAGAAGTTAATCGTAAAAACATGAAGTGCTGGCGTGGATGTCGACAGAAGAACTATACCCACAAGTACAGCCACCCATACACCACCCACACCCACACCCACACCCTAGAAAAATTGAAACGCTTACTCATGTATAATTTTGTTGAAATCGAACTAAATTGAATACTTAATTAGCTCCGACACAGCTGATCAGATTTTCATCATCTTTTACAATGAATTAAACAAACGCAAATAGGTTATTTCTCTACTTCCTATCCCTAACAAAATATTCCTTCATATAGCAAAAGATGGAGAATTTCAAGCTTTACAAAGCTGTGTACTTTAATTTTAAAAACAACATTTTTCTATTGTGCAGCAATCAATACATTGATGTACACTCCATATCCATACTACGACACAAAGAAAAGAAAAAGCACATGACAGAATTAGATTTTCAAACCAAGGAAAACTCATATTGGAATCTCATATCCCTGTTTTTCCAGGGCCTGTTTCTGATCAATTCTACTGAAACCGATGTCAGGTTTCGATCGACAATGACGTAATCTTGTCACGAAAGAAAATTTTGCACCTTTGTAGTGCAAAAGTAGAAACATTGCGGGTGAATTTTATCTCAAACACTTTAATTTTCTCAAAATTCGCCAAAGTTACCACGAAGAATACTTCTACGGGATTCCAAGTTTCTGAAATAGGATTGAATGTGCAAAAATGGATTATTTAGATAGAGTACACAATTGTCTATTTTCTGAAATGAATTCTCTGCTTCAAGACCTACTTAGAGGGTATAGTATGCTTTTAAAAAGCACGAGCTACGATGAGATGTAGAACGAATATACCTGATAAATAGACGTTTGGATACTTTGTGTGGAACATTGAAAATCGAGTAAACGGTCCTAACTCCGAAAAGAAAGTGTACAGGAGAAAATTCCATATCTGTTTCTATAGGTTTGATTGAGTCTTACTCATCGGCAAAACATAGACTCAGTCGACGATTAAACGCTATACGTATTTCCTTGGAAGACACAACTATCGATAGTAACCAGTCGTATATGTCTGACATATGCACACAAGAAGAAATTTTGTTCATATTCATTCTTCATATGAAAATAACTACGAGTTTTACTTGACTAGTATACGATGTTGTGGTTCGTTGGGACCATAAACATGAGTTTTAAGTAGATTGCTGATGATGTAGACCTTTTTCGAGCAACATGGAACAAGTGATTTGAGTAGGTGATGTGTTGTGTCTCTATTACATGGTCTTTTAGGCGGGCCCAATTTTTGCAAGCATGAATAGAGCAAAGTTGTCAGAAATCCATATATTCTTATGAAGCATATTTTTAAGTTCTCATTATGACTACATTTTTCTTCGTTTCGATATGTAGAATTTCCTTCGAGAAAGAAATGAAAAAGAAATCATGCCTTACACTCGAAAATATTTGGAATTATTCATTCAAACTTTCCCGATGTTTTCAGTTGCTCGATTGATATAACGACAACATATTTTCAGTCAGAAGAAAAAGACATACATAAGAAATATCGCGTACATGTGTTTAGACAACATGTACGCTAAGCCTAATGTTTCTCTTGTTTCTAACAAGATCTATAATTTATTATAGGCTGTATTTCGTTTTTGTCGAGTGGTCTATGTGTCACGAACGTGGCTACAGCACTCTCGCACTTATACTATTCTCGCTTCAATTTTGTGGTTCCTTTCCATCGTTCTTCTGCTTCCTATCCTTTTGTGGCACGATATACAGTTTATACCAACAGAAAATGTGTGCCTGTTGACGATGGATAACATTCGTGGACTCATCTAGTCTCTTCTTACTGTTTACTTCGTACCGATGAATGTCATTGCTACTGTCTACTTACAAATGATGCGATACGTACGCCAGCAATCCACGATAATTTCGTCACATTGTGCTGGTTCTATCCTTACTAATGTCTATGGGTATTCCCACAGTGGTGTTTGTACTCATGGCACCTTTTACTGATGCGGGTAAGCCGTTGCTTTATCGTATTTTCTGTATAACTTTGTCAACAACAATGGTGACTCTTAGTATTATGCTTATTTACGTGACTCCTCAACTCAAAGTTTTGCTCATGCAATGAAACAACAAGAACCAAGTGGTACCATTTCATATCAGGTCTCCATCGATGCTGACTATTGCAGTTATCAGACGTAAACAACAGAAGCATTGATTATTATAAGAATA